GGTTCCCTTATCTCGGCTTGCTCATATTTTGTTTCCAATTGTGATGAAGCGAGATAAAATACATCGCTCTTTGAATAGTGTAACATGTAGCCAGGCAGGAGCCTGCACTTCCTGATATGACGGCAATCCAGTTTTGCCACGACACCACAGCACGCATGATGCAGCATGTCCTCGGGCACGGATCGGCATCTTGCGGCTCTTTAAGGGCCTGCTTCATGACTTTATTTATTAGGGACCACCGTCTCGTAGTCAAATGTATTGCGGCTCTTGCAATATTGAGTTTTTTTTACCGAGTTTGAATAAAATGGCTCTCCTTGTATATTGAGATACAATACATCTCGCCATCGTGGGGTGCCCCACGGCCGTGAGATGTTAACTCCCTCGCCTGGTGTGCAGGAGGTCGTGGGTTCCATCTCCCCGTGGTCGTATGGATTTTTCTCAGGGTCACCCGGTTTTTCCATTCCGCATTTAGAACGTGCTTTTAGAGTATTTGGCCGCTGTGCATTTCCACGTGATAAGCCACTTCGTTGAGCTATCATTTGTGGCCAGGTTGCTTCTGAAAGAGAGCTATACAGCTCAGTGGGCCTTGCCTGGTAAAAAAAATAGTAAATAGTAATTTTGGTTGCTGATCCCTGTCCTAAGGTATCACAATACAGCTGGACTTCACGATGTATGAATTCATCGATTGCTTTATTGATTATCGGTTCATTTACTCAACGAATCGGGTTGCCAACCATTTTTACAATGGGCCGAGTAATCGGCCGTAAACACCAGTAGCCAATAACAATCATCAGTCGATTAATCAACTTGCGCGACTAACCGTACCAATGCCAGGTCACAGCAAAGCTTGCACTTGTGTTGTTAGAAGTGTTGTGACTCAATTCACAATGAAGAGGTCATCATTAGAAAACCACTTGAACTATGCACTTTAAAATCTAGATTGAAAACTCATTTATTTACAATTTGCTTTTTGTGTTTAGTTTGCTCTCCTTCCCCCGCACCTCCAATGAGCACGGATGGCGACGTATGGTGCCAAAGAAGTTCTACAATACATATTGTTGGCTACGTACGGTTCAACAGAAGTTCAACATGCACACGTGCATCATGACCATTGCTTTTGGCATCACTTGGCCCATTACTTCCTTCTTTCAGACCTCACAACTGTTGCATAGTTGACACCTGATTCACAAAGTTAACGTGAACACGATCCTACCAGATGGCTTTGGGTCATGCCCTTGGTTGCTCACCTTTGGGTGCCTGCCTTGCTACCCTGGACCCCTACACCTTGCATGTGCCGAGTCAATCGCAACCTCTTTCTCTTTGTCCTCCTGTTGTTCACAATGCTTTCCTTCCATCACATCCTCTTCTGAGCTGACAAGTTTGCTTACCCACTTCTGCCACTCAATTCCTCGTACGTTATTCTCTGCCTGGATCTACATTCACGACCCCTGTTATTACCGTACCTAACAGTCACGTTTCACGCTGACATCACTGTAGTTAAAGTGCCGGAGGCTTAAAGAAGTTTGTGGGTTTAATTCTCTGCTCTAGGTTGTTCGCAGTCCATCATCCCTCCCCTGGTGAGCTTTTGTGTGTGTGAAGTCAACAGTCATCATACTAAAGATAGACTGGCCCTCCTTTCCAACCTCTGGCTGAGGGCCACCAATCAGCAAGAGGTGAGCAGCGCCCCCCTCACCGCTGCTGCCCTCTATCAGCAGGTGAAAGTGTATCGTGCTCGCGTTCATTCGGGTTGCTCCATTTCGCGGCTATGCGTATTCACTCCCGACGGGTCGACTCGAAGGTGGCTTGGGTGTGCGTAACGCGAACCCGTGGTTCGCGGTTAGCTCGGCCTGTGTGAAACCCCATCTCCCCCACCCCCCCACTACCATGCGAGGGGGGGGGGGAGCGGCGTTTCTCTGTGGTGCCAGGCAGACTTGTCAAGGAAATTATCCATGTGCCCCCCCCCCCCCCATATCACTATTTGTACACATGTTTATTTGTGGATACACGAGGTGGCCTCGGGCAGCAGCTCACGGGGGCTAATACTGTGCGAGAGCACCCTGAGCTGGCACTGATGAGAGATGTCGCCGATGATTATTGTTCAGCCACTGATGGTTAAACGGAGTTCTCGATTGGTCCACAGCGCGTCTGGATGTCAGAGTCGTCGGTCTGCGATAACTCAGCCAGATCTAACTGCTGATTTCACAGGCTAAAAATAGGCACTTTTCAAAGGGCAAGGGGGACTAAGACATGTTGTGAGTACATGCAGGTACGCGTGTGCTGCTGGGCCCGTCCAGTATTGCGAGACGTTTCCACAATTCTGTGCCGTGTAACCCAAGCAATATTTTACTCGGTGTATGTTATTTCATATTCAGTTTTGGCCTGAATGCTATTTTTTTGCCGAATCGTTAAACTGTCATTACGATTCACAATTTATTTTCGGTTCGGATCGATCGCGGAAGTAAAAATTTGTGTCATGAATCCCTCCTCCACCCCAACACAGCCAAATAATAAAGCTGTCAGCACCGTTGTGTTTTGGAGAGCGGTCTTACAACATTTGACATTAGGATACGACGTTTCCGCCGATGGTTACAACCAGCATCATCGGGCAGTTTCCAGAATTGTGCAATGTTGTGAGATGGTTCTCAAACACACCGGTGGTGATGCTAAAGCGGTAATAAATTGGCCACGTTAGTGCACGTGACAACTTTATGAATCGGCTGTGTCGGGTGGCGGGGAGGGTATTTTACGACGCAACATTTTACTCGCACAGCGATCTGACCCAAAATGTGATTACGAATCATATTGGTCACGAAAGCCCAAGGTTTTGACTCGAGTGTAGACCTAGACTATCCTGTTAAGTAATTGTTTAAGCTGCAGATTATCAGTGCAATCGTTCAACTATAATCGCATGACGTGACAACAGTTGGGCAACAAGTCCTCGCCTCTGTTCCCACGTGGTGCCACTGGACGTGAGATGCAATTGCCGTGATGCCCGGTGACGGTATCGCCATAATCGGTGATGTCACGCTGATACCTGGCGCACCGAACTTCCCATTTTATCAGGTTAGCCATGAATCAACTTTCCTGATTCCTGTGATGTCTTCTGGTTGACTGAACCACAGTTGGGCCTCCAGGCTGTTGTGATTGGCTCAAAATGACCTTTGGTCGGTTGTGAAATGCACTGACATCTGTCTATGTAATGTTTTTGGTAAACAAGCTGTCTAATTGCACTACCAAGTTTCAAAACAGCCATGCAACATTGCATGCTGCTGCAAATAAATACTAGACCTAATGCACGGACCCTTTAGCACGCGCAAAGCCACGTACTTTATTCGCACTCACACTTTCTGTCAAACTTTAAAATGTGCGTGCTTAATTGTCTGCAGAAATCCGTACATATCACCTTCCTGTTTTTATGCAGCCTAAGTCATGTATTTATAGTAACACTCGTACCTCACAGCAAGAAGGACCTGGCGTTCGGTTCGCACAATGTGACTGGTATTGGCCGAACATCCCAGTGTTCCAACAAAATCTTGGCAGAGATCCTCCTTAAAAGGTCCTGAGACATTGAGGCTTTTTCTGACTTATCAAGCGGAATAATAATAATGATGACTTTGGACTCGCTTTAACACGTAAGCTTTCGCCACCAATATTATTCATAATCAAGGTTTTCGTGTTCGATTACGTAAATATAAATGACACAATCTTGTTCTATTTAAGACCCGAAGCAGGAAGACTTCCTCATAATTCTGGCAAACCACCTGATGAAGCTGGTTGTAATCACCAGCGAAACGTCGTACTCAATTATAAGCATTGTGGGTTTACTCGGCATTAAACCGATGCGCTGAAGTAACAGCTAATTGGCGTTTGTTACTCACGTGACAAATCTTACTAATTGGCTGTGTCGGGTGGTGGTGGTGGAGTTAACGGCACATTTATATTTACACGATCTCACCCAAAACCTTTTATTATGAACTATGGACTCCCCTTCAATTCCCCTCTCGACTCCCTTTCACCCTTCTGCCCGTGCAGTCCCATCCAGTAGCCATCGTGGCGTGCGGACAACCAGACGTGGTCGTCGCCACTTCTCCTGCTTTTCCAAAAAGCCATCAAGTTACTCACTCGATCTCCCTGTTCAAGTCCAAGACTTTCATTTTCTCATCCCCCTCCGGGGAATTGCCCGGTGTATTTCTTGTCATTATTATCAGTATTCATTATCCTTGTTTACCCGGGAAAGTGGCCACTGAATCGCAAAATACTTCTTATGGAGGGTCTTGCCAAGTTTTCCTTTTTACAGTAGGGGGAGGCGATGTTGCTGCGCGTGATCCTGATTGAGTCATTCTTAAAGGCATTGTCATGTTTTAGCATTTGGGATATTTGGATTGTTTTTTTTAAGTTGTTGGAGGTAACCGGAGAATTTGGAGGAAACCAATGCAGAAAAGGGGGAGAGCATACAAACTTTGAAGTTAAGTCGCATTTCTCGCCTTCTCCACTCATCTCATACCTCCCTAAATGTCCCCATGGTTCGTTGTTGGATTTTTTTTCCACCGCAATGCCGCATCTCCCGACCCTCTCGTACATTTGACGTGCGACGCTGCTACGTTTCACGATGCCGGCAATCGGGCTCCTAGTTGTGTGTGTGGGGTGGGGAGGGGGAATGCTTGAGAGGGTGGGGGAGGCCTTGTCGAGGGGTAGAGAGAGAGGGGGCTAGTTGTACCTGCCTGCATACCTTTGACGCGACCGCATTTGCATTTAGCCCTCGAGCGGGGGAGGTCTGTTGCAGGTGAAGACGAATCCATCGCGCTGCGTCGTCACGGAAGTTAAACGCGACCCAAGCTTTAGTTTGGGTGCGTTACCTCGTTCGTTAACGCTTTCCAAAAAAAAAAACCCATCGATGTCGCGTTGGTGTGCACAGTTTGAACGCATTTTAGTTTTGTCGCCCCGATGTTTTTTTAGTGGGGCCCCGTTCTTGTGCGAGTCGCAGCCCCTTCCCCCCCCCGGCAGCCTGACAGTGAACGCGTCCAGGAAGTTTCTCTGCGTGTTGATCACTCGCGTCGACATTGAAGGGAAACCAGGAAGTGCACCGATGTGCGCTGTAGCATTCAGGGCTACCGAAGGCGTCTTGCTGCAAACTTGCCCGGTGCCACACGGCTTGAGGTCTTTCTGCGCTCGTACGAGGACTCGTGTAATGTGACAGTGTAATATAGGCCAGTTATATATATAACTTACTTGCCAGCCATTCAGGCTTTCGTTGGTGTTGCGATCCTTTGCTGTATTATTAATGCGGCTGTCGCGTCGCTGAGTTTAATGGTGCCGTGTGTACGCTTGGCCCGGGCAATTGGGGGTGCTCGTCGTCCTGTAGCCGTGGGCCATGGCCGTCGCTGAGCACGTGCGGTCATGCAGACCTCACTGGACCGCTGGCGGAGCCAGCTGAATAGGAGGCACCTCTCTGTTTACAAGACCATCCTCACTGTGGTCAGGGTGAGCCGGCTCAGCAAGAGACTTCTTCACTCGAAGGTAAGGGGGGCTGCCCTTCGTAGCCAAGGCATTTCACCGTTTCGAAGCGTGCTGCTGTGTATTTGCAGCGTTAATATAAAGTGCTTTATGCGGTGTTATTGCCACCGGTTACCAAAAAAAAAGTCCCGCGTAAAATTTCGGGACGGAGTCGTTGACTCATCATCGCTCCAGACTTCTACTGTTGATAAAATAAGTGCCGCGTTGTCGGAAGTTAATGCCAGCTGTTCTTTAAAGTAACTGGCTTATGCCGTGAAAAAAAATGTACTTCCCGAAACTGTCTAAGGGACTAAAGTGGAGATTAGCAATGGCGAACACACCGAGTCGCGAGAAAAACACATTAACCTGAGCTCCTGTGTTCTGTTCCTCCTCGTTCATGTTTCACAAACTGGCCCGGTGACTGCGTGTGGGTGGTTTGCTGTGCACTTTGCCAAGTTGTTGTTGGTAACCGGAGTTGTACAGTCTCGCTTATCAGCATCTTGCGGTAAGAAAAAAAAATAGTTTTATATCGCGACAAATAAAAACAAATAAATTCAGCTGAATCAATCGCCATGGGGATTCCCACTCGTAGACGCTGTCGACGGGATGAGATGTTTCCGATAACGAGGTGGATTCGGTTGGGTGGTCTGCAGTGGTTCGAGCACGAAACTCTCAAGGTTGTGAGTTCAAATCGCGGTCAAGTAGTTGGCTTCGCTCTACACATTCCTAGATAAAAAAAAAATTGCGTCAATAAAACCAGTTCGAAGTTGCTGGAAGCCAAATAGTGTTTACTCCCCCACCCCCTGCCGTCCATGAATAGACTGGGCCCCAGCATGGGAGCGTGGAATTTCCTCCACTGGCTCAGGGCCACCGTTTTTGATAGGTACCACCTCTCAGTCAATTGAGCAGGACGGCTCTTTGGTTGAACCGCGATTTTGATGGTCGCTGAGATGACCGGAAACTTCAGTTTCATTTATTTCATTTCAGTTTCATTTATTTGGAATAACCCTGTGAGCCATTCGGCTCTTGATTCGGGTGCAACCGTAACAAACAATACAATTACAAGATACATTTAAAATGTACTGCACGCAAATTGAAACATGCCCTACAAAAACAGCTTACTCAGAGCACCCTGTGACCTGACCTTTCAGTAGGACTCTCGCATATCTGAAGTCACACACGCGCCCTGACCAATCCACCGCACGCCTAGCAAGCGGTGGTTTTTAGCAAGGCGTAACTTTTTTTTCATAGCGGTCACAAATGTGACATTTCTCCTGTCCGGTAATGCGTTCAAGTCGGGTGAATTCACTGACGGCTGAAGTACAACAAAGCATTGATGGTCCACATTTAAAGCACGTTGTGATTTTTATATTTATCCGCTAACCTGTTTGCACAGTGGTGTAACTTTCATTCTCGATAGACGTTCACATATTCGACCTTCTCACATTTTCTCCGATACCTCAGTCCCTCCCCCCCCCCCCACAGCGAGTCAGATATATGCGACGCAGTACACATGGGCTTGCGGAAGCGCTTAATGCGCATATGCTGCTTACATTCTCGTGCCTCCGATCGGCACGGTTGGCTACGTACGGTGCGAAATAAGTTCAACATACACATATGAGCTGCAGTGCATTCTGCTCACGGCACTGACTGATCAATGTGTAAGCCAGCGCACCTTTTTGGCAGCCTTGCCTCTCGGGCCCTATGTCAATTTAAATGTTAAACAAAGTAACCCGTGATAAGTTATCGCTGCGGGCCTCGTGACTGTAAATCACGGTGTAAGATCGCGGTCCTCTGTGAGCGGCAGTAAAACCTCACTCTCAAAGGAAGAGACGGCCGATGGTGATGTGACAGGGCCGTGTGGTTTGGGGTTGTCTCGCACTGGTTTGAAGAATAGTAATCAGGAAACAATCCACTTCTTGAGTGTCATCTTGGAGTATTGACGTTGCCCGTAGTGATGTCATTGCAATGAAGCATTCAAAGTCATGGCAACTCTCCTGGGAGTCACTTTAAAGGGTTTTTTTCTCCTCCGTTACGAAGCTTCAAACTATTGGACAGCTGAGAAACACAGCCTAGGCAGGCCCTGTGTGTACAAAGTAACGTGTTTTTGGGGTTTAAGAGTTGTCAGGGTCCTCGACACCAGTGCTTCTCAACGGGGGGAGGTACGTTTACTTCTGGGGGTACGTGAGTCGATTTATAAATGTGTTAAATTATATAATACACAAGCGTCATTGGTGAGTAATCGCGCACGAATCTGCCAATATAAAATAACTCCGATAAAATGTAAACTCATATGGTAACCTCGAACTATATTGAAGAAGACCTTTCTTAGCTCGGTCATACACAATGCGGTCTCCCAGAGGATGCGGCGGGAGCGTGAACAAATGACGTCACGTGTGCAGAGCGCCCGTTGAAGTTTTAATTCACTTGCAGTTACTATCCAGTTAGGATAACTCACAAAAATAAGTTGTTTTAATTCGCTTGCAGTTACTATCCAGTTAGGATAACTCACAAAAATAAGTTGTTTTAATTCGCTTGCAGTTACTAGCCAGTTAGGATAACTCACAAAATGGACATTTGGTTAAACTATTGATGTTCATTATTCATACGTTTATTTCTCAGACCCTGTACAAGAATACGGGGTAAACCGTATGGGTTGACAGGTATGGAGGGTTGGAGTTGACCCTGATTGCAATTTGCACCTGCAATCTTCTGATTGTGAGCCACGATAAACTAAAGAGCATTGGCTGGCTTAGATGACAATTCTTATCAGCTTTTCTTCGTCGACGTAACTCATATCGTGCATCGTGGGATGTTGACGTCTCGTCCACACAACGGAGCAAGTTTTACCCACGCATTTTCAACCGAAATCCAAGGGGAAATCCCCTTATCCGCTAATTCTCATAATTGTGGATAAACAATAGTTCTACTCTACTTAGAAAAATATAAATCACCTTTCGCAGTAAGTAGTGGCAACAAAGAGGCGCTGTTGAGGAGGTGGAGCGCAGGGATTGTTTGTTCATAAATCACTCCGCAGCGAGACGTTATGTCAGTGCAAGATTACACACAAATCTACAGACTTTCGACAGGCAGATTGCAATTCCCAAGTATCGGCCAGGAAGCTGGTTGATGCCTTGTACAAGGGAATACGTTTTTTTGTTTTCGGTAGGATGTTGCTACTTGCGGAGTTGCACAATGTTTTTTGCGCATTGTTATTTTTAAGCATCAAAGTTAAACACAAATGCCATCTGATGAAATCTCTGGAAGGTGGACGCACTGTACTTCCTCTATGATATATTCAAGTTGATTCAAGAATGTTTTCCTGCTCAAATGAGCATCACTCATCTCCATTGATGGCCGTGAGCCAAAGGTTGTATTTCACGTTTGTATGCCAAGGAAGGGGGGGGGCAGTGCTTAGGAAAAGCACTGCTGAGGCGAGCGAGGAAGATTGTGGCCGATTCCTCTCACGCTGGATACTCTCTGTTCCAGCAACTCCCCTCCGGCAGAAGGCTGCGGTCCATCAGGACCAAAACCTCACATCATAAAAACAGTTTCTTCCCATCTGCTGTGGGCCTCTTCAGCAAGGCCAAGGGCTTAAAATGATTTTACACTTACTTTAACATTTTATCTACAAAATTACACCTTGCCATATTTACAACATGTTGCCCCATTTGTATTTTTGTATTTTAGGATTGTATATTACGGCTAGTTTACATTTTATATTGTATACTTATTCAAAATTTTACATACTTTAGCCCCTGAGTATTAGTTAGACTTTGTAATTTTAGTATAGTTTGACTGTATACCACTTATTTAAGTTTAAGATTCCTACATGTTGAATGTATGTATCTTCCTGCCATAGTAAATTCCCTGTTTGTGCAAACTTTCATGGCGAATAAAACCCTTTCTGATTCTGATTTGCACAAGGCCACGTGGGGAATACGAGTGATGCTCGTTCTATTCAGCCCAGAAGAATAACAGCCCGAGTTTAACTCTGACCAGGATTTGAACTCGCAATCTTCCACTTGAGAGTCGGCTGGCAATCTCATCTCACGGCGCGACTAACCCGGTGCATGCCCCACTGACACATATTTAACATTGCACGCGACGCGTGTTCCTGCGGTACAGCGTCGCGTATCTGACCCCGTCACGCATTTGCCTCGATGCACAAATGCTGCCCACGCCAGGGCAGCATGTATTTGTATTTGGTGTAACTCTCCTTTTGAACAGATGTTCACAAATCTGACCTTTTCACACATAGCCACGTGGTGTTAATCTGGCCGTTTATACGCTCAACTTCGAAAGTATGTTTCTACGTTGAAAGCAGTTTGCAATTTAGTTTTGTCCAGTAACCGACAGTATTTGTGCACGGACTAACTCATTTTCTATAGATGTTCACAGATCTCATCTTTTCACATGTTCACCTGTACCTCACTCCCCCCACAGAGTTGGATATGCGGCGTTGGACTGTGCTGCGTTTGCGTAAATTTAAATTACGCTTTTATTTTTTTCGATAGCATTCAATGCATATAATTGCTTGTGACTTCAAAATCCTTGTTGTTTTATCTGCTGGCGTTGGCGCCCATGTGGGAGGCGATATGCCCGTGGCAGTAGCCGTCTGCTAAAAATGAAAACAAGAAACCACGGCGCTCTGTTTGTCATGTATGTATCTGTGTATGTTGAATTTCTTATGCACCGTACGTAGCCAAATGTGCTCATCAGAGGTGTGGGGGAAGGACAACAAACTAAACACAATAAAGAAATTAGTTTTCAATCTTGATGATTTAAAAGTGTGTAGCTCCAGTAGTCTTCCTAATATTGAGAGGAAGAGCGTTCCAGACGGCCGCAGAAGCGCATTTGAAAGCGCCGTGTGATGCGGTGACCGTCTTTGTTCGACGAGTAGCGAAAAGCCGCTGCTTCGAGGATGAACAGAGTTAGAGGCGCACGCACAAAACTATCACGCTGTGTGGTCAACACAAGACGACGTCTCTATCTGTATGTTAAGGCTCCCATAGACCCGCTGC